CTCTTAAATGACATTCTTCTCATCTCTTTAAGGATACTATTGAAGGAATTGCTTTGTCTCCTACAACATCCATTTTCCATATATCTATTGCATTACATGCTGTAATTTCTTCTATCTTAAAATAAGAAAAAAAAATCCCTTGACACACATAATTTCTGCTTGATAGTGCCCCATTTTCAGCTGCTTTTTACAACAGAGCACAAAAGAGTTTTTCATACTCCTATCTCCAGTTTTTCTCCCATTCTCTTGAATATACTTCAATCAGAACTTGTCCCATTACTCCATCAAAACTATTCTTGTGGGGGCTAGGGATGTGGCTCAAGCAGTAGCGCACTCGCCTGGCATATGCGAGGCGCGGGGTTCAATCTTCAGCACCACATAAAATAAAATAAAGATGTTGTGTCTACCAAAACTAAAAAATAAATATTAAAAAATTCTCCCTCCCCCCCAAAAAAAAACTATTCTTGTGAATTGCTAGTAACCTCCTCTGTTAGTCAGCTTTGCATCACCATGACCAAAAGACCTGACAGGAGCAACTTTGAGAAGGAAAAGTTTATTTTGGCTTATGGTTTCAGATGTTCAGTCTATGGTCAATTTAATCTATTCTCTGGGCCCAAAGTGAAGTAGAACATCATGGCTAAAGGGCATGGTGGAGGAATGCTGCCTCACTCCTGGAGGGCAGAGAGAGGGAGAAGCCAGGGTTAGGATTATATCACCCTGGTGACCCACCTCAAGCAGGAAGCCACACTTGCCTACAGTTACCACTCAACACATTAGTCCTTTCAAGTTACTAATCTATCTAAAGAATTAATCCACTGATTAGGTTAAAGCTCTCACCGTCTAATCATTTCAACTCTAAACATTCCTGCATTTTCTCATAAGTTTTCAAGGGACACTTCATATCCATACCATAACACCTTCATATTGTTAAAGGCTTTGTTAAATTAGATGTCAAAACTGGGCACAGTGGCTCACACCTGTAATCCCAGTGACTTGGGAGATTATAGCAGGAAGATTGCAAATTCAAGGTCAGCCTAGGAAACTTAGTAAAGCCCTGTCTCAAAATAAAAAATAAGATAAAATAAAGCTTTGGGATGTAGCCCAGGGATAGATTGCCCCTGGGTTCAATCTTCATATTAAAAAAAAAAAAGTGTGTGTGTGTGTGTGTGTGTGTGTGTGTGTGTGTGTGTCTGTGTATTTATATGAGTGTGTATGGTCAGCATTTTTCCTTATCAACATCTGACAAAATTGATCATTCCTCCTTAAAAATATTTTGTTCATTTGGCTTTTGGGATTCCACATACTCTTAATTTTTCTCCCTCCTTATTTGACTACTCCTTCTTTGTCTCTATTGCTGGTTTCTTCTTGTTTCCCTCACCTCTAAATATTTATGTGTCCCAGGGCTCAATCCTCACAGTTGTCCTTTTTTTCCTTCCCTTCTCTATATCCAAAGACATTCCTGGGTAATCTCGTCAAACCTAATAACTCTTAAATATCAGCTATTTGGTGATGGCTTCTAGGTTTATACTTCTAAATCAAATATGTCCCTAGAACCCCCACATGTGTGTATACATATATATATATATATACATATATATGTATAATTTTTACATGTATATAAAAATTATGAAATATATACATTATGTATATATATATAATTTTTTTAGCTGTAGATGGACATAATACTATCTCCATCTTTTCTAGCTGGCAACCTAATGTTGGTTCTGAGTATTCCAGACTTAAGAAAACAACAAAGAAAGCACACAAACCCATAGAAGTACCTTTTCAAAATCCATGACAGCTCTCCGACATTAAGTGTCCGTGGAAAGAGAGCAAGCCACTGATATTCTTTATTCTTATATAGGAGACAGACAAAGGGATTCTGTGGAACATTCTATCCCAAAAAGTGCAAAGGGGTAGGTTTACAAAGGAACAGGTGAGTGTAACTCAACCCCACCAGGTGACACCTACTCCTGGAGTCAGGCCTCATTATCTGAGCTGGGGTAATACCCAAGTTACTGTGACCTGGCACTACCTTGCCAGACTGAACGCAATAATTGTTCATAACCCAGTGCATCAGGACTTAAAGGTGTCTGCATCCAGGGCAGCTCCCGACACAATACCTTTATTTTATTTATTTATAGATGGTGTTAAGGATCAAACCAATGCCTCACACATGGTAGGCGTGCACTCTACCACTGAGCCACAACCCCAGCCCTATATGTTTTTTTTTTAATATCTTCCTTGTGATACTTAAGGGCTTAACACCACTTTTTTTTTTTGGTACCAGACAGAGATTGAAGCCAGGGGCACTCTACCACTGAGAAACATCCCCAGCCCTTTTGAGATAGGGTCTCAATAAGATGCTGAGGCTGGCCTTGAACTTGTAATCCTCCTGCATCAGCCTCCCAAGTTGCTGGGATTAGAGGCATGCACCACTAAACTGGCCCCAAAACCAAACTTTTGATATTCTCATCTAAACCTGTTCTTACTACAGTGCATGGTTTTCAGTAATACTTCCACTATTCTAGATGTTCAAGAGAAACACCAGGAATCCTCCCTATTTTCTCTACCTCATATTACAAGTACACTGCATCATTAAATCTTCTTCAGTATACCTTCAAAATATATCCAGAATCCAATGATATGTCACTTCTTCTACCCCTATCTCCACCATCATCTAGTCCAAGCTATTTGGTTGCTGTAGCCTCCTAAATTCTGTCTGCCTAGTTTCTGTACTATCAGGCTGTCCTTTGATTTGATGAAACAATCAGAATGATTCATTTAAAAAAATTTTTTGGTTTTGGCCGGGCACAGTGGTGCACGCCTGTAATCCCAGTGGTTAGGGAGGCTGAGGCAAGAGGATTGCCGGTTCAAAGCCAGCTCAGCAACTGTGAGGTGCCAAGCAGCTCAGTGAGACCTTGTCTCTAAATAAGACACAAAATAGGGCTGGTGATGTGGCTCATGTTTGAGTACCCCTGAGTTCAATCCTCAGTACAAAAAAAAAAATGTAGTTGTAGATGGACATAATGCCTTTATTTTATTTTTTATCTTTATTTTATTTATTCATTTTTATGGGGTGCTGATAAGCTGTACCATTGAGCTACAACCCCAGCCCAAGAATGCCTTTATTTTGTTTATTTTTATGTGGTGCTGAGGATTGGCCCCAGAATGATTCATTTTAATACAAAGGAAAGGTATTTTTTCCATGTTGTTTCTCACAACTATCCAGTGGCTTCCCATCTCAGAGTAAAAGTCAAATTTTTAAAAATAGTGAAATGTTTCTTTTTGTTTTCCTTTGAGGTCAGAAAAATTTTACCCCTTCTGCTGAAGTGTATCCTTGGATATTTATAATTTTATAAAGAAGTTTATTTCTGCTGGGCACCATGGCACACACCTGTAATCCCAGAAGCTCAGGAGGCTGAGGCAGGAGGATCTTGAGTTCAAAGCCAGCCCCAGAAATTTAGCAAGGCCCTAAGCAACTCTGCGAGAACCTGTCTCTAATAAGGGGCTGGGGGTGTAGCTTAGTGGTTGAGTGCCCCTGGGTTCACTTCCCAGTACCAAAAAAAAAAAAAAAAAAGTTGTCCCTTTCTAATCCCTGCTCTCTTGTAGGCCATGGACTCTGACTTTTTTTCAGGTAATTAATATAGAGACTTAGGCAACCAAAGTCAGCAGATGTCCTGAGGATAACTGTAATCACAGCACGTGTACCTCTCTAGTTTCTATTTCTCTGGGCTACAATGCTGGGTGGTAACTGTTGCGGTGCCTCTGGAATACTTTATTTTCTTTTAAGCCTGACCAGTTTTCAAAGTATATTTGTAATATTTCACCCAAAACTTAGGGACATTTTTCAGAAAGTCTGGTGCACCATCCACACATCAAGTAAATCCACTATCACGTTTTTATATAAAACAGTTCTTATTATTGACCCCCACCCTCAAACTCATGGTTTCCTTTTGTTGTCAACTCCTTCCTCTCTCCCTAGCATATGAAAACTACTCACCTATTTTCCATCCCTATAGTTTGCCTTTTCAAGAATGTACATAAATAGAATCAAAATATGTAGCCTTTGGGCTCTGGCTTTCTTACCAAAATACATTAAAGATTTGTTAATATTGTTTCATCAATCAATAGTTTGTTTCTATGTATTGCTGAATAGTGTTCTATTGTATATAATTGTCAAACTGTTGATCGTTCACCTTTTAAAGAACTTATGGGTTGTTTCCAGTTTGGGGCAATTATGAATAAAGAAGCTGTAATACTTGGTGTTGAGCATAATTGTAAATATCTTTAAATATGACTGCTATATCATTTGCTGAGTATGTTTCATTTTTATAAGAAACTACAAAGTGTTTTCATTGTACCAGTTTGCATTCCTAGGGGTAATGTATAAGACTTTTCATGTTCTATTTCTTGATCTGTATTTCCATCTATAATGGTGGGGTTTTTTTAAATAAAATTCATGGAATCTATATCACTCCAGATGCCTTCCATCATTTTAGAAAATTGCCTTTTTCTTTTCTAGCATCTTCAATATTTCATGAGAACTTTCATTATGTTTTAACCCTGTAGCAGTGCCTGGGCAATGATAAAAGGTATTCTTTTGGGTTAAACACATGTGGGCTTGGGTAGATGAGTAAACAAGAGAAGACATGACACAAAGTATGAAAGATGAAATAGAGAGTGTCTCCCTATTCAAAATAAAAAGAGCTTGAGGTGTAATTTGGTGTGCAGGGTCATGGGTTCAATCTCCAGTACAAAGGGAGGGAAGAAGATAGACAGGATTTTGTTTTATGAAATTTGTGTGTGTGTGTGTGTGTGTGTATTATATTTTTACAGTAGGTTTTGATATGAAAGGAAGGTATTATTATGGGTCATAGTAAACAATATTTGAAAAATACTGCTATAGGCCTGTTATTTCTGTATTATTTGTTTTATCTGCCACGGAAATTCTTTGGTATTATTTCTCTTGAATTACTTGATGTTGTCTTATCTTTCAGACTTGCCTTCAAGGTGTTCAAATAAGGACTTATCTCCAGAAAAGGACACTAATAAAACAGAATTATCTCAATGGGAAATGAATAACAGGCTTGAAAATTGTGAGCTTTCAGAGACCAATTTCAGAGATTATTTGAAAGTCAGAGGCAAGTTGAAGAAGCAACAAGAAAATCAGAAGGACTATTTCAGGCAGGGGATGATCATATATGACAATATGTCCATTTTCAACCATCATACCTACTTATCTCAACATCCAAGATGTCACTCTACAGAAAAACCCTATAAATGTAAGGAATGTGGGAAAGCTTTCAGACGAGCTTCACACCTAACTCAACATCAGAGTATTCATACTGGTGAAAAACCCTACGAATGTAAGCAATGTGGAAAGGCCTTTAGTCGTGATTCTCAGCTCAGTCTTCATCAGAGACTTCATACTGGTGAGAAACCCTATGCATGCAAGGAATGTGGGAAGGCCTTTACTCAAAGCTCACAACTTATTTTACATCATAGAATTCATACTGGTGAAAAACCATATAAATGTGAAGAATGTGGGAAAGCCTTTATTCGTAGCTCACAACTCACCAGACACCAGAAAGTCCATACTGGTGAGAAACCTTACGAATGTAAAGAATGTGGGAAGGCCTTTACTCAGAATTCACAACTTACTCTGCACCAGAGACTTCATACTGGTGAGAAGCTCTATGAATGTAAAGAGTGTAGAAAGGTCTTTACTCAGCTCTCACAACTTATTCTACATAGAAGAATTCATACAGGTGAGAAACCCTATGAATGTAAGGAATGTGGGAAAGCTTTTATTTGTGGTTCACAGCTTTCCCAGCATCAGAAAATTCATAATGGGGAAAAGCCATATGAATGTAAGGAATGTGGAAAGGCCTTTATTCGGGGCTCGCTACTTATGCAACATCAAAGGATTCATACTGGGGAAAAACCTTATAAATGTGAAGAATGTGGGAAGGCCTTTATCCGAGGTTCACAGCTTACTCAACACCAGAGAATTCATACTAATGAAAAGCCCTATGAATGTAAGGAATGTGGAAAGACCTTTAGTCATGGCTCACAACTTACTCAACATCAGCGAATTCATACTGGTGAGAAACCCTATCAATGCAAGGAATGTGGAAAGGCTTTTAATCGTGGCTCACTCCTTACTCGACATCAAAGGATTCATACTGGTGAAAAACCTTATGAATGTAAAGAGTGTGGAAAAAACTTTAGTCGTGGCTCAGAACTTACTCAACATGAGAGAATTCACACTGGTGAGAAACCCTATGAATGTAAGGAATGTGGAAAATCTTTTATTCGTGGCTCACAACTTACTCAGCATCAAAGAATCCATACTGGTGAAAAACCTTATGAATGTAAAGAATGCAGAATGGCCTTTACTCAGAGTTCACATCTTTCGCAACATCAGAGACTTCATACTGGTGAGAAACCCTATGTATGTAATGAATGTGGGAAAGCCTTTGCTCGTGGCTTATTGCTTATACAACATCAGAGAATTCACACTGGTGAGAAACCCTATCAGTGTAAGGAATGTGGGAAGGCCTTTATTCGTGGTTCACAGCTTACTCAACATCAGCGGATTCACACTGGAGAAAAACCCTATGAGTGCAAGGAATGTGGGAAAGCCTTTAGTCATGGCTCTCAACTTACTCTACATCAAAGAATCCATACTGGTGAGAAGCCCTATGAATGCAAAGAATGTAGGAAAGCCTTTACTCAGAGCTCACATCTTTCTCGACATCAGAGAATTCATACTGGTGAGAAACCCTATCAATGTAAAGAATGTGGAAAGTCCTTTACTCGTGGTTCACAACTAACTCAACATCAGAAAATTCATGTCAATGAAAAATCATTTGATTATAAGGAGTGTGGAATAGACTTTAGTCATGATTCACAAGTTTTTATATGAATTATCTTATTCTTTGTGGTCTCACACATAGCATTATCTGGTTATCCATTATTAGTACAGAGTCTTAAAAATGTGAATTGGGGACAGATTTGTCTCATAAAGTTCAGCATTGAAAAATTTAGATGGGGCAATGAAAATGTTAATGTGGTCTATGTAGAAAATAAACTTTTATTATTAGAACCCTATTAAACATTAGCAAATTAAAATAGAAAATAATTCTTTTAATGTAGTAAGTGTAGGAAAGTCTTTAACCATAGAAAATATCTTTTTCAATATACTCTTGGCTCTGCCCATTTATTTCCTTTATGACATTTGTCATAAAATACCATTACTTTGATTTAATTGTTTGTAAGGTAGACCTAGGAATAATACATTTTTGTAAGATTCTTGAAAGTATTATGTGTTATTACATGTAAAAGCTCTTAGAACAGTGCCTTGAACATAGCATATCATGAATTTTAGGTACTATTTTCATTTTTCTTATTTTAGAAGATTTGCATGAGAGGAGGGCACTTATGAGTGTTGTTAGTATCAAGAAATATTTCATTAACATTTATCCCAGGTTATTTGGGGGGTGGCACTACATGCTGTCATGAGACAACTTTTGTTCAATATTGTAAGAGAAAATTCATACTGTAAAGAAGCCGTGTAGTATCAATGGGTTATTAAGAAAAACTGTTACAGAATTTAGGACAAGCGTGAAGTGATTTGTTATAGAGTCTACATATTTGCATCTTTCACCATCTCTGACAATTCAAGAATATTATTTAGAAATGAAAAAAAATAGCCAGAATAAACCTACTAGGAAATTTTTTTAAAAACTTGAATGTACTTTTCAGTTAAACTGAAAATAAAGATTAACATGCACAGACTATGTTGAAACAGAAAAAAAGACGAGTTTGCATTAGAGACTATTTCCCTACCCAATATCCATTTTTCTCTTTAATAATAAATCCTGGGCTAAAACACTATCTTAGTCTCCCTTTCAAGTCAGCAATATGGAAGTGGTCTTTGTGTCTAGGATATTTATGAAATTCTTTTTTCCTCTCTGTTTCTTCTTTTTCCTCCCTACAAAATAGACATCTAAGCTGAACTTCTGTCAGTCTCATGGGGACTTTGAGGATATCTGGGTGTTATGAATGTTGGATCAAAAATACTGAAGGAGACCAAAACCCTGATGATTTTGTGGAACAGTCACACCTTCTCTGGTCTGCCTGCCTCCCATGATTCTTTATGTAAAATTAATGCAAACCTCTTATTTATTGATGCTGTTTTAGTTCATTTATTAATAATAAACTTCTCTTGAGGATATGGAAAATGTACCAGGAAGTGGGGTGCTATGAGTAAAAGAAATCTTAACATTTTTAGTATTAACTTAATGACCTTGTAGCATGTGGATCTTCCCAGTTCAGACTAGAAAGCAGAGTTCTTATTTTTATAGACAAAACATTTGTTCAAACTGCCTCCTCCTGTCTTGAAATGGAAGGAGTTATTCAGTGTTTCTTGCTGAATAATGTCTTATGACATTATTAATGTATTTGACATTAGTAATGTCTTATGACATTACTAAAAGCAGCTTAAAATTATATGCTTAAGACATGCTATCTCTGTCTCCAAATGCTTAATCGTCTTTCCTTAATAGAAGTAATTTACACTGACTTAAAGGGACAATTTGAACAAGATTTGAGACTATTGCCTATTCCTACAAAGACATGCTAGCAACATATGCTTTCCCCACCCAAGCCTATTCTAAAATTAGTCACATTTATTGGAGACATACTGTATTCCAGCCACTACCCTTGGTATTTGGGGTATATCAGTGAACAATTCTAGCAAAAGGAGACAAAGTATGTATAGCACATATTAAAAGCTAATTGTTACTGGTTGGAAAAGCCATTTAAAAAGAAATGGGAGGGATATGACAGTTTAAGTTACTATATGAAATACAATAATTCAAGGTAGACCATGAATAAATACAGAAGCATCAGAGCCAAGATTTGAAGAAGTAAAGAAGGAAACCAATTAGTGTCTAACAAAGAGCATTCCAGTGAAGGAGATAAGTGAGAGCAAAGAATCTATAATGTAGCTGTTGTACAAAACAAAAATAAGTAGAGTAGAATACTGTGGGCCAAGCATGGTGGCTCATGCCTGTAATCCCAAAAGCTTGGGTGACCAAGGAGGAGGATCACCATTTAGCAACTTAGCAAGACACTGTCTCTAAATAACAGGTTTTAAAAAAAGGCTGGGGAAGGCTGGGGTTGTAACTTAAAGGTTGAGTGTTTGCCTTACATGCATGAAGCACTGAATTTGATCCTCAGCGTCACATAAAAATAAATAAAACAAAGATATTGTGTTCATCTACAACTAAAAAGAAATGTAAAAAAAAAAAAAAAAAGACAGTATGTTGCTGTGGTTAAGGACCTCTGGATTCAATCCCTGGTACCAAAAAAATAAAAAAGGAGAAGGCAATAGCAATAATTCAAATGAAAGATGAAGATGGCTTAGACCAGGATGGTAACAATGGTTCTGGTAAGAATGGGATGTAGTCTACCTACATGGTAAATGCAATGAAGCAAGTTTTATTTAGTGGTTAAATGTTAGGTATGAGAAAGAAAATGCCTAGGTGAATTCAACTCAAAGGTTTTGGTTCTGAGCACTTGCAAAGGTGGTGAATTCCATCAAATAAGAAGAGGAAAGCTACAGTTCCAACAAATGTGTGGAGGAAAATTGGGAGAACAGTTTTAGATGTTAAACCTGAAGTGTGTATTAAACACAGAACTGAAATATTGGCCTAGGCACTTCAATATAATAGCTTGTACTACCCTAGAGGCTATATTTATTTAGTAGTTATTACTATACATATTTAAATTCCCAAGGCAGGATAAGACAATTAGGAACTTGAGTGTAAAAAACAACAAAGACTAAGCCATGTTGCATCCCAATGTTCAAGAAAGGGACAGACCAGTGAGGAAGCTACGATGGAGGACCAAAGTGGTGGGAGGGGAACCAAGGGCAGGGAATATAGAAACCAAATGAAAGGACAGACAATCAATGGTAACAGATACCCCTGGAAAATTAAATAATACAAGGTTTGACAATGGCCATTGGGTCCAGCAATATCAATATTACAAGTGACCTTGAGAAGGATAGAGATGTATTGTCTGTTTCAGAGTGGAGAATATAAAAGCCTGATAAGACAGTAGGATACCCTGATGACCCATTCATTGTTTATGCAACAAAGTCACAAGCACAAAAGCAGTCCCAGGGGTCCCTCTAGAAAGCATTTTAGAGGTGGTATTTGGCTATTCTCAGACTTATGGTGCCACTAAAGTAGACTTGCAGGAGCCTTGAAGACCCAAACATGGCTAAGGAAACCAAAAACCATACCTGGGACCACAGGAGGAGTTGTGCTGGAGGCAGAGCCAAATTAAGAGGCCTCTGACAGTATTCCAGTAGCAGTGGAGGACACAGTAAATGCTTCAGGTCATGCATAAGACATGACTTCCAACTGCCAGGTTGGTCCTGTACCAATGTGAAACTGTCGGTTAGGCCACAGAAGCCACCACTTTAGTTCATCATATTATTACCAAATAATTACTCTCAATCAGTCAGCTACAGTTAGGTTTGTTATTGCTTTTAATTTTTTTAATAGGTGAGAGAGAGACAGAGAGAAATTTTAATATTTATTTTTTAGTTTTTGGCGGACACAACATCTTTGTTTGTATGTGGTGCTAAGGATCCAACCCGGGCTGCACGCATGCCAGGCAAGCGCACTACCACTTGAGCCACATCCCCAGACCTGTTATTTATTGCCTTTAAAGGAAGAGGAGAATGTTGTTATAATCACCTTCCTTATCCTGTTTATACTTCTTCTGTAAGTCTAAACTGAGTTCCAAGTCAGGTTTTTGTAACTGGAAGTTGGTGCCGAATTTTAGAAAGCTACCTCTCTAGAGTCTGAAACAGCAACCCAATTCATAACCTCCAACCCACACAGGGGCCCCAGCGTTAAAAAAATCACTCCTTGCCAGCAGGTGAGAACAAACAGGGACAGGGGCTCAAGGAGGAAAGCAGAGTAGACAGGCCCCTATCCACTGCACAAGCCATACTCCCACACACATTCAGGTAGATTCTCAGGGCACATAACAGCATCCTAAGGTGCAAAGGCCGTCCCATTCTGTGCTCCACAGGGTGGATTCAGTGAGAGAAGAGACACAGGCATACCCACAAAGCAGGCCTAATGCAGGGATCCCATGTTGCAGATCGTGCTGCTGATTTAAACTCTTCCACCTACTTGGCCTTCCTCTACTTCTCAGATCCTGGGACCATCCTCGCAAACAGCCACAGCACATCCACGGCATGTAAGGGAGAGTGCCTGTTTGGCTAAGCCTCCTGGACGTATCCCTAGGCAACTGTACAGGTCACTGTGACATAAGCGCCAGACTGGAAAGACATGCATGCTCAGTTGCAAATCCGGGAGGCTGGGCTGTATGAACAGGAGCAGTGCAACTGGCAACCTCCTGCAGCCTTCCCCTTAGGATCTGATCTTTCAGACATCTGGGTCACTTTTGCCACCACTGTGGTCACCATGCTTCATGGTATGAGGTGGGCCCAGTATATTCCTTTGTGGAGCTGATTCTAGAGTGGATCTTGGGGGAAGTGGGTTAGATTGCATCCAGGATGAAATCGGGTAACAGAAATGAGGACAGTGAGGTACATGAAGCCAGTTGATGAAAGTGTCAAATAAAATCTTATATAAGATAGGTCCTCAGCAGGCCTCTATCCTGGAAGCAAACCCCATACTGATAAGCACCTTCAGGGAAATGTAGACATGGACATTTTAAGCAATTCCCTCAAGGAATTGGTGTTCCAGGCGGGAGGATGGAGCTAGCATGTTTCAGAAATATATAGGCTATTCCAAGAGTGATAATTCACAACAAGGCATGATTCTAGAAGCCCTGGGGACTCCAGCAAGGATAGGGACATCCAAAATTCTACCTGTGGGGACAAGAGGAACTGTACTGGAGGCTGAATTACTTTTTGCAGAGAAGACAAAAGGGACCTCTCAAAGGCACCCCACAACTTTGACCACTACCCTCCTTCCACTTACCCCCAGTTCCATTGTCTTGGTGAAAGAAGATTCAATGCTGCAAAGCAGTCACAAAAAATAGCAAAACAGAATCTGATATCACTTAAGAATGGAAAGGAAAATGCTGATGAAATACAATGTTTACTTCAATATGAAGGCCATTCACGGGTATGTCTCACCCTTTGTGAACCATACAACCTTCTGATTGGTCACTGAGAATAAGAGCTACCTCATGTGCAGAAGCCATGGAAGCCCAAGGCTGCATTGTAATTACACCTCAAGTCATTAACATATATGTGTGATACCAACGTGGTGGTGCACACCTGTAATCCCAGCGACTCAGGAGGCTGAGGCAAGAGGATTGCAAGTTCAAAGACAGCCTCAGCAACATAGAGAGGGCCTAAGGAACTCAGTCTCTAAATAAAATACAAAATAGGGCTGGGGATGTGGCTCAGTGGTTGAGTGTCCCTGAGTTCAATCCCTGGTACAAAAAAAAAGAAAGAAAGGAATGAAGGTAGGAAAAGGAAAGGAAAGAAAGGAAGAAATAAATATGTGTGGAAAAGGAAACACTCATGGAAGGGATTCCCAGAAATATGTCCTTTAACTAAGAAATGCTTTTTATTCGTAAGATGACATAGAAAACAAGTCAAGGATATGAAAGACAAGGTTGAGGAATAGTAAAGGCTGGAGGCTGCTCAGGAGAAATTACTCCCAATTTCCAGGTAGATCCTGGATATTGGTGCAAAATGGGAGAATTGACATTAATAGCCATTGATTTAGTTCATGAGGCTGTGCTCAAGGTGAGCTCCTCTACTCCCTCACTGTGCTCTACTTAGATATTATACGGGGAACAGGAAAATGATGTTATAAGGACCTTATTTGTGT